CTGTGCACAGCCAGTAGTGGCAGATGGGACTGGACTTGTGTCTTCTGGATCCAAGTCAGGGTTCTTGCCCCATCCACTGGGAGACATGATTAATCAGAGATGAGCTCACAAGTGTAGAGGGGGATTCTGTAGGAACCAGGAAGTCTGATCTGGGCAATCTCAAGAAAACTTGGGTTTCTGTGCCCCAGTGTTTTGTTACTATTAAGTCCCTCTTACAAAAGGGTTTTGATGTTGTCGGGGAGTCCACACCACCCACATTCAGGAGCAATGAAGTCTGAAAACCCTATTTCTTTTTCCCTAGTCCCCTGTAGAAGAGCTGTTAAACGTAAGATGCTGTGAAACTCTGTGCAGGTGTCCTTGTGTCCTGCCTGCCTCCAGTCCTCTCAGGTAAGCCTACAGGTACATCTTAACCCCTGTGGTGTGGTTTAATCCCTCCCAAATTATTGTAAACTAGGGACCTTGATGAAGTTCTCCTAAATGACTATAAAGAGATTTCTATGATTAAAAGAGAGGAACTCCGAGTGCAGCCTCTGGGAGGGAAGTCAGAGCTTCTGGTTGCTGGACCAGCCTTGAGGGGTGGGGAAGGGCAGCCGGCAGGCCTGGCCAGGTCTCCTGCTCTCCAGCATGCACCTCACCCATGGCCGACAGAGTTTGCCCATTTGCTTTTCATGTTACCTTGAACTCCAAGCGCCCTTTGGATGAGGAAAGGTCCAATGGAACTTCCAGAGATCGGACTGGAGAGGGCACAAGGGCAGGAGGAGGTGCAGCGGCTGGTTGGAAACCCTTCTCTCTGGCCTGGGGCTCTGGTGAGTGTGGGGAGCTGAGAGCTGACCTGGGGCAGCCCAAAACCAGGGAGCAAAGGCATGAGGGCAAGAGATGTGCGTTCAGGTCTCTGCTCTGCCACTTGCACGCTGCAGCCTCACCTGCCTCATCTGGGAAATGGCTTAGTGCTACAACTTGGGCTGCCTACCTCACAGAGAGTTGAATGGAGGCATGGATGAGCCAGCCAGTGACCTCTGCAAAGACTGTCAATCAAGTACAGATAAATCAGTGTGAGAAAAGATGATGGTGGTCATGATGATTTTGACCTCTAGCCTGGTGTGAGGGACAAAATGCACCAGCAAAACACATGCACAAAACTGTTGCAGACACAAGGGCCAGGGGCTGTGGCTCCACCAGCCTGGGGCAGCGGCACAGCACTTGGTCCCGGTGCAGAGCTCTGGTGCCAGCGCCGCAGGGTCCAGGCAGGAAATGTGCGCCCAATTCCCCTCCTTCTCCTTCCCCTAGAGTCACCAAAATTCTTCAGTTTGGAATAGAGTAAGGAAAATTCCTCCAGGGGAAAGTTGTGGAGACCCGACCCTATTAATTTTATTAAAATTTTCATCCATTCATTATTTTATAACATTTCACAGTTCTTTAAAGTATACGAGGCACTTTCACAAATACTATATTAGTTATCCTGAATTATCCTCATTTTACAGGTGAAGAACCTGAGGCTGAGATCAGGTAAATGAACTACCATCACACTGCTAGTACGTTGCAGCAACTTACAAACTTACACTGGGGGTTTCTGACTTCAAGTACTGTGTTCCTGGAAACTGAGGTTCAGGGAACTTCCGAGCTCAAGAAAGAGATGGGAAGGAGGGGAGAGAGAGGAAAAGCGAGGAGGGTGGGAAAGCGGAGGAGAGAGATGGTGGGGAGGAGGGGAGGGGAGGAGAAGGAGGGAGGGAAGCCGGGAAGTAGGGAAGGACGAAACGAAAAAGAAAAAGGAAAGAAAGAACAAGTCATTTAAGAGAGAGGGGACAGCGCGTTCACACAATACACACCGGAAGAGGAAGCTCACGTCTGTGTGCGGACAGGTCCGCTGCGTGGTGCTCGGGCGGTGTCCACTGTGCCCCCGAGTCGTCACACGCAGACCCGCCGCTCCAACTCTGCTTCTCCCGTGTCGTGTCTGCGGGAACCCCCATCCCATCCCGCCACAGGTCCAAGCACCCGCAGGACCTGGTCCCGCAGCCCCTACTTCTCGCCCCTTCTTGGTTCGATTGCTTGCGGACTCGTGGCACCGAGCCTCGACCGACGAGCCTCTGGACCGAGAGCTGGCCGCGGTCCTGGGCCCAGCGCTGACCAGAGCAGGTGTCGGGGATGCCTCGGAGAGCGCTAGCCCTGGCCGTCTCGCTGAGACCCCTGAGCCCCGGGCTTTGGGGACGCTTGGGGTGTACGAGGAGCTCCGGAGGACTGAAGGTCGCAGTGACCAGAGAAGCAGCAGCGTCACAGCAACCCCGCATCCCTTAGCGCCGCCCGCAGCAGGGCACGCTCGCGTAAAGTTGCCCAGGTGAAGCAATGCACGGGTGCAAATTAATTTTAAAAACAAAAAAAGAAGGAATGGAGCGAGCAAAAGAGTCCAGGTTCCCGGGTGCAGACAGCTCACACGCTCGGGGCGGCGCCCGTGCTAGAGATGTGGCCATTAGACAACTCAGGCTCGTGCGCTCTCTCTGGACGAAATGCAAGAAATTAAACAATTGGAAACACAATCACAATACGTATCCTCTCTGCCTCCGCCCCCGCCGTTTTCTCCATTTTTGCCGTGGGTCTTTGGACTCCAACTTGCCCGCTCTGCGCTGCTCGGGGCGCGCATATTTCCTTGACCAGGTGATTGGGCGCGGCCCGGCTGCGCGTGCGCTCTGCTCCGGAACCACGCAGCGTGGGCGCCAGAGGCTGGAGGCGGGAGTGGAGACCCCCGGCGTGGGCAAGGTGGCGCTGTCCACTAGAGGCCTTTGGAGCGCCGGTGGGGTTAGAGTCGAGTTCTTTCAGGGTCCCTCATTGCCGCGCAAGTCCCCCGTGCAGAGATCGCTCTCCCCGCCCCCACCAACGAGATGCACGGCGGGGCGCGGCCCTAGCTCGCCGCGGTTCCCAGAGCATTCTGGCGTTGGGACATTTTGAGGGATTTCTGGCAGAGAGGTCCAACACAGGAAACGGCTTAGGCTTCCCGGGGTAGGGAAGTCCGCCTAGACCGCGAACACATTCTCTCCGCAACACCCCCGCCCCTCGGTTCCCGATCGCCGGCGCCAGCCAGCCCCGCTGCTCCACCTCGGGTTCCAGGATGCTCTCCCGGCCGCGGGGCACCCACTTTCCAGCCAGCGCCGCGCCGCGCCCCGCGCCCTTCGCTGCTCAGCCCCGGCCCGCAAGAGCAGCCGGTGGAGCATGCGGGCCTAGAGTGCTGCTTCTGGATCCCGGCTGGAGGGGAGAGGAAAAGTAATTCATCTGTTTTATGCAGAGAGCCCATTCTCAGATGAAAATTATCAGGGACTCTATAGGTTAAAATTGGGACTTAACGGATAAGTTGCATTTCTCCATCCACATGCCCCGCCGTGGGGCCGTCGGGGAGCGCATGTTGCACACAAGGCGCCTGTGAACCCAGTCATTGAGCGCTGGGACATTGAAATCCGGACTTAGAACTCACGGGCTTTCTATCGAGAGTTGTATCACATCAACCATCATGTACATCGAATCGTCACAACAACCCTGTGAGATCAGTCTTATCATGCATCTCATTTTAGGATTAGGAAAGGAGGCCTAGAGAGATATCTGACTTGCCCAGAGTCCCGCAATAAGTAACCCAAACGCTGAAGACAGGTCCTGACTCCAGACACCACGGTCCTCCCACGACAATGCTACCTCCGTTCAGGGTCACCTCTGCGGAGCCCTGCACAGGGGTGGCGCTCAGTAAATATTTGTGGATTGAATTCCAGGATCTAGTCAAGCCTTAGGACTGCCATGTTCTATGCAGTAGGGTGTGTCTAAGCCGTATTTAGTCACTCATTTATTCATTCACTTGTTCGGCAGTTCCTGAGCACCTACTGTGTGCTGGCGCTGAAAAGAGCCAGGGGAACAGCCCTACTCACACGAAGCAGGGTGACGCGGAAGCTGTCATCCGAGGCAGGGATTCGTCCGCGAGGGACCGCCGTGAGCTCTCAGCTCGAAGCCCTCCGAGAGTGCAGGCGAAGAACCTGCAGCCCCGTCTACCCTGGGGTGTCAGGATGAGGGGCACTCAGGAGCTCCCAGGTCGTGTCAAAGCCATAAGGGACTCGGGAGGGGAGCGCCGGAGCGACTCCACTCGGAGGAGCAGGACTGCTTGTCGGAGGAGAAAAGAGAAAATCCAATGAGAAGGGAATTCCGGGAGAGAAGAGTGAGGGGGAGGGGTGGGGGGGCACTGGAGACCCAGACACCGGAGACTAGGGTGGGGTGGAGGTAGGGGTGTAAGAAGAGAGAAATCAGATGGTGGAGTGAATAACGGAGAACAGAGAACGCAGACGCCCTCCCGAGAGTCAGATGCTGCGGGGCGTCGAGGGGCCCTCGGGTGGGCACTGCCTAGAATCCGATGCGGATCCAGCTCCAGCCCTTGCCGGCCTCTGTGGCCACCAAAGTTGGCGGGGGGCGAGGTTGTCAAAGCCCGGGCCATTTTAGAAAAACAGTAGGTGTGTCCTCTTAAGGACGTTCACAGGCTGCTCTGGGGCACTCATGGTCAACGTCTCTTGCGCCCGGCCATTCCCAGCGAAACCCGTTTGGCTTCGGTACTCCGTAGGATTCCACGCGCGGGAGGCCTTGGTGGAGTCTGGCCCTGGGAGCCCGAGGCCAGGCAGGACAGGGGGCTGGCGTCCGGTTCCCGCTCCCGGGCGAGGTGACTGCGGGCGGCGCCCGCCTCCCGGCTCTGCGGCACCTGCGCCCGGAGCGGGCGGGATGGGAGGCGGCCCCCGGGCGGCCGGGCGCGGATCCCCGGGAGGGACCCGGGAGGAGGAGGGGCGGGCCGGGGGCTGGCGCGGGGAAGCGGCCCTCCCCCAACCCCGTCCGGCAAGTCGCAGCCGGGACGCGGCGGCCCAGGACGCAGGGAGGGGGCCCGGGCCGAGACGGAGGGAGGGGCCGCGCCGCCTTCGAGAGTCATTGGAGGATGCGGCCGCCCGAAGCTGATAAATAAGGGGCGGGCCGCGGCTGGTCGCCAAGTTGGACGCCCCGACCCGTGCGAGGGCCAGGTCAGCGCCGACTCAGCGAGGCGAAGCCAGGCGACCCCGGTGCGGCCATGGCCTCGCTGCTGGGAGCTTACCCGTGGCCCGAGGGGCTCGAGTGCCCGGCCCTGGAAGCCGAGCTGTCGGATGGGCTGTCGCCGCCGGCCGCCCCCCGCCCGCCAGGGGACAAGGGCTCTGAGAGCCGTATCCGGCGGCCCATGAACGCCTTCATGGTGTGGGCCAAGGATGAGAGGAAACGTCTGGCGGTGCAGAACCCGGACCTGCACAACGCCGAGCTCAGCAAGATGCTG